TTTCCTACTCTTTTCTGTCTTCTCCCTTGCCCATCCCTTGTCACTTCCCATCACACATACACGCGCACACACTCACACACACGTTTTTTGCCATGCTATCGTAGTGTTCCTGATGTAGAAATTATTAGGGTGGGGAACTCACAAGGAGCTCATGGTGTGGGTTGCAGAAAGATTTCTGACACCAGGAGTAGCATAGTTTTAGGAAAGAACGTTTATTTTACCTTTTTGAGAAAGGAGGAGGGTGGGGAGAGAGAGAGAGAAGAAGGGAGGGAGCAGCCATGGCTCATGAATGAAGGAGTGAAAGTTCTGGGCCCTGAGCGAAAGTTGCTTGGAATTTTAAATGCTAAAAATGGTGCTTTTTTTCCCTCTGCTCTAGCAGACTGTTAACAGAAGCGGTTGTCGGCAGCTGTCGGTGTTTTTTATTTTTCTCTTTTCTCTGTGAGGCTGCGTTATCAGAGGTCCTTGGGATCTGGTCCTGGGAGGAACTGAGGCAGGGAGTGGGAGTGGGGAGTTCGTACCCCTGCTGTCCACTTAGGGATCTTCAAGGCTATGGAGACCTCCTAGAGATAATGAGTTAGGCCACAGGTGTTTAATTAAACAAAGCAAAGGGCAATTGTACTGTGAATTTATTTCTCTTACTTTCTGTGTGATAGTTTATTTTCCTCTATTAGGTCAGTTATTAGGCTTTTCAGAAATGTTAATTTTTACAAATCAAAATAATGTTAATTTATGGTATTTTATGTGTTATGTAAGCTTTCGAGATTCTTGAATTTATTAGGATTTTTGATACATTGAATGTTCCCTCAAGTAAAATCGTTGAGTCACTGAAAATTCTCATGTTCCTAGTTTGAAGTGGAAAATTAGCAGTTTTCTAGGGATTTAGGAACTGCAGAGAGAGAAACAAATATATCTTAGACATCATCTAGCTGTCTCTATACACTCAAAATTATAGCATCACATTTGAAATGGACATTCAAAATGGTTTTCTCTTCTTTTGGTAATAGTTTTTTACTTGGCACTACTTTTCTTTTCTCTAGTCACCATAACTATTTTTTCCTCTTTTGTTCTCTTCTCAAAATTATTTTATCCTGAAAATTCAATTCATATGCTACAAGCTACTTGGCGAGTGGTTTGTTGACAAATGCATTTTAGGGAGTCTTTATAGTATTCTGAGTGAGAACAGAGTCTTTGGAATCATCCAGCTCTAGAGTTCGGTCCTAGCCTGGCCAATCACTGGCTTTTCACCTGGACATTTCCTGAATATCTCTAGGCCTGTGTCCATTCATTTGTAAAAGGCAATGGCAATGGTAAAGTATCCTCATGGTGTTTGTATATATTAAGTGAAATAATTCTTGCAAAAATGATTTTCATTATTCCTGACATAGTAAGCACTATACTTGTAGATTTTGTTGTATCTTTTAACCCCTTAAATGAAATGAAGTATTAAAAGAAATAGGAAACTTTTATCATATTTAAATAAAATTTCTTTTCTCAGTTCATATAAGGACCACGATTCTATTTGGCACCTTCTTTGTGGAGTAATACTTAGCTAGAAACTGCAGTGAAATCATGCACGAACATAGACAGGAAGAGAAAGTGGTGATCCTGTGATAATTCAAATGCAAGCTACCAAATCGATAATATATACGGGAGAGAGAGAAAAAGAATTAGGCCATGGGTCAATTAACCTTTAGAAATATTTTAGCTTCAGAAACACTTTTTTCCACCTTATAACTTTCATACTGGCTGGGCGCTGTGGCTCACGCCTGTAATCCTAGCTCTTGGGAGGCCGAGGCGGGCGGATTGCTCAAGGTCAGGAGTTCAAAACCAGCCTGAGCAAGAGCGAGACCCCGTCTCTACTATAAATAGAAAGAAATTAATTGGCCAACTGATATATATATAAAAAATTAGCCAGGCATGGTGGCGCATGCCTGTAGTCCCAGCTACTCGGGAGGCTGAGGCAGGAGGATCGCTTGAGCCCAGGAGTTTGAGGTTGCTGTGAGCTAGGCTGATGCCACGGCACTCACTCTAGCCTGGACAACAAAGTGAGACTCTGTCTCAAAAAAAAATAAATAAATAAATTTCATACTTAAGGTTCTAGAATTTTAAATTTATTCCAGATAAGAAACGTTATACTGTTTCAGTTTATAAAAATTCATTTATACGTAGACTTGATTTTAACTTTGAGCAAACTGCAGAAAAGAATGACTACCAAGATGTTTTATAACCTGTTTTCTCAAATGCTTTTCTCATTTTCATCTGTAAAATTTCTCTCTAAAATGTTGTGATTAGCCTAACAGTCATTAGGCTAGTTAAGTGCACCCATATGTACAGCTTATGGCATTAACAGAGCAGTCATAGCAAAAAGGTGGTGCTAGGTGCTTCAACATACAGAAGCCACAATGCTTTCAAGACTGGCCATGCAGTCAGTCTTGGGCTGACAGCTGTGATGAACAGAACATCTTGTAATTCCTTTGGTGTGAAAATGAATTGACAGTTACTTACAGGGAATAGTTAATGTAACATTTTGCAAAAATAAACACAATTTCTAACCCTTGAGAAACTGTTAGAATGAAAAAAGGATGGGCGACTAATATTTTTGATCAACAGAAAAGGCTTGAAGACAAATAGATGATGTCTGTGTGTATAAGACACTATCTTCATCAACTCTGAGAATAATAATTAAAAATTTTAAAAAGAAACAAACCCATCCTCAAAGTAATCATAAACATGTGGAATATCTTTGTGAAGAATATATTATGTTGTTTTGTTAATACAGTAAGTAAAATTGTGATGATTTCATGTAGTTCTGTTTTTCCAGTTCTTAATTTTAAAAAAAGAGTGGAAGTAGGAAGAGACATAAGGAAAGCAGGCATAAAGGAAGGAAGGAAACGTGTATGTAGTAATTCCAAGTAAACATTATGCTGATTTTTTATGCTACTTTGATAACATCATTTATTCAGAATTAATCTCACATGGTCAAATGGTTGGTATAGACATATTAGAGATTATTTGGGAATTGTTTGACGCAAAAGGAGTGGACTTGGCCATTGATTTGTCTTGAACCATTATCACATGCTTGCTGGTTAAATGCTTTTGTATTATACATTTGATTCTCAGGCTTGCATCCGAACAACTCTTGTGCAAAAACTAATTCATTTCTGAATGATGATTATTTAGCATTAACTAGCATTAGTAAGATAGTGGTAATTATACTACGAACATTTTATTCCTACTATAAGGAGAAATTAGTGCTGCTTCTCCAGTTGTACAAGAAATAGCCTATTCGTTCAGCTCTGCAACTCTTTGAACACCTGAGATCCCACTTCCTCTTGAAACTTTTACCTTGGGACAGTGGAAGAAAGTAGTGATGGCTTTGTCCTGTTCGCTTTGTGAATTTTACTTTTCATTTTAACTTTCCCAGCATGGAACTCATCTTATTTTCCAGAATAACTGTATGAGTTCTTTAAGTAGCCATACCATTATTTAAATCATTTAAATACAAACTGTGTTATAGCTGCTCAATGAGGTATCTCTGAGATTGTGTCATTCAAGAAAACCAGTGAATTATTAGCCATGACCTGGCTTTCTTTACTGTGCTGAATGATCATGAGCAGAAGATATATAATCAAACTAAACTCTTGATTTTCTTAGGCAGCATATGTTTATTTTATTTATTTATTTTTTCCTTAGAGACAAGGTCTTGCTTTGTTACCCAGGCTGGAGTGCAATGGTGCTGTCATAGCTTACTGTAACCTCAAACTCCTGGGCTCAAGCAGTCCTCCCATCTCAGCCTCCCAAGTAGGTAGGGCTACAGGAACATGCTACCATGACTGGCTGGCTAATTTTTTTTATATATATATTTTGTAGAGACTGGGTCTTGCTATGTTGCCCAGGCTAGTCTCAAACTCCTGGCCTCAAGTGATCTTCCCATCTTGGCCTCCCAAAGTGTTTAGATTATAGGCCAGAGCCATTGGCATCCGGCAACAGCATAAGTTTAAACAGAGGTAGCAGGTATCTCTGATATTGGCAACTTAAAGAATATTCTTCACGCAATTAAAGTGATGGGAGAATTGCTCATACATTTCGTTTTAGACATATAGTGGTATACTGAATTCTGGTGAAAATTTCCATCCAAAACCTGGGATTTTTTTTGTTCAAAAATGATTTAATAAAAGACTGTCTACTATGTACCAGATCTCTGTGTGGAATGCAAAGGCTTATAAAATATGTTTCCAGTTCTGTAGTATTGAGGAGAAGGAGAGTCTATATTGAAGACAGGAAAGGTAGTAAGTATAGTTAGTAAAGTTAAAATATGCTGCATCAACCAAACCAAGGGTGAAAGAAAAAATAAGATAGGAAGGGAGAGATTGCAGTGTGTTTACATTTCATGCACTCAAGAGCTGCATGGAGTCGAGTAGACGGTCTGAGACTGAGCTCAAGTGCCTCTACTTTAGGCCTCCTCCTCGTGTTAATGACAGTAGAAAATCGAGGTTTAACAGATGATAATCTATAGTTAGTGGTGAAGCAAAAGTCTCTCTCCTCTTTGGGGAGACTTGCATTAGCTTGGTAGTCAAGGGGAGAACACGGAGGTGGAATAATTGCTAGAACTGGCAACTTTGGATATACATTATAATGGTCATCAACATTTATTTAGTATTTACCTGGAAATATGTGCAGTATTTTACTTTCCTTTTATTGTCTCATTTAATCTCAACCATTTCATGAAATATATGTACTGATATCATTATAAGTTAAGTGATTTTTTTAAGATCACGTAATTAATAGTTATCAGACCCAGAGCCCAAACGTTGGGTCTGTCATCTGAACCCATGCCATACTGTAAAGGACACTGAGCTACCAGGATAAAGTGTCATGCTGACATTCATGGGTAGGAGACAGATGCTCATTAGAAATCTGGTTTAACGTTGATCATTGGTATATTTATAACATTTATAACACAAACTTTCTTCTCTTTTTCCTTTTATTTTTTCTTTTAGTGCGACTTCATGACAGCATATCAGAAGAGGGCTTTCATTACTTGGTGTTTGATTTGTAAGTATGCACTTTGTGCATTTGTTTTTGCAATCTGTTTGAAAACCGTTTTGAATTAAACATGATTTTTTTTCTCATCATACATTATAAATTAGGGACCACTATAATATTTTTTCTTCAAGTAACACTCAACTCTTATTCTTTTGAAAGGAGTTTACTACCCGTCAATGTTTTATTTAAAATTCATATTAACCTTCAAAAGTAAAACAGTTATGACAGTCCCCTTTGCATTGTCCATTGTGATGTCATAAATGGTTCTCAGTTTTCCCTTGGGGTACAACAATGTCTGACATAAGCAAAATTTTCCAATGAATTTTTAATGGTATGTATAATTTATCATCTTATATAAAAATAAGATTCATGGTAATAATCTGGGATGACCAAGATTGATCAAAACTAATCAGGTTCTATAAACAGGAATGAAGGGAAAATAATGATTCTTGGCAGGGAGATAGTAAAACAGGCCACACACAGATGGCTGGTAGGAGTTTAATAAGAACATACTTTCTGGAAATCAATTTGATAATTTTTGTATTTATCAAGAGACTCAAAAATGTTCATATCATTTGGCATAGTAATTTTACCTCTAAGAACAAAATTCATGGAAAGCATATCCTAAATTCAGATAAATTTTTATGTTGGAAGATATTCATTGCATCATCCTTTATAATGGAAAAAAAGAAAAGGAAAAAAACAACGTACAGATTCAGTTATAGAGAAATAGTTGCATAATTACAGTACATTTATATAACAGACCACTCCCTAGAGTTTTAATGTGATGATCATGAAGAGATTTGGGATAAATAAGAAAAAAGAACTTCACATAATATGAGTCTAAAGGTAGGTTAATACTAGGTTTATTTAAGGCAGTCCTTCAATGATATCATTAAGAAACCACGTTCTTTCCATCTTTCTGTCTGTTTTGTGTAGTATGTGGGTTTATCTTCATGCTCAGGCTCGCCTTAGGGTCTGAAGTTGACTGCCTCATTTTCAGATATCACAGTGACTTCCAAAGGCAGAAAAGGGGGAATAATAATTCTATTGCATGAATTTTTATTCTGGTAGCAAATCTTTCTCAGGAGTCCCTCAGAGATTATCTGTTAATAAATCCTTATTTAGAATTGCTTTTTAAGCCTATGTCTAAACCAGGTATTGCTAAAAGGAATGGAATTACAATTGGCATTGACCAGTCCTAATGTAGTCTGTCGGTCTGGTTAGGGAAATGATCTCCCCTGAGCCATATGATGCCCAGTGAAGAACTAAATTGTGATTTTGTTATTAAGGAAAAAGGGAAGGCCAGTGTGCAGTGTGGCTCATGCCTACAATCCTAGCACTTTGGGAGGCCAAGACAGGAGGATCACTTGGGCCCAGGAATTTGAGACCAGCCCTCAATGGTGAGACTCTGGCTCTACAAAAAATAAAAAAATTAGCTGGATATGGTGGCACGTGCCTGTAATCCCAGCTAATTGGAGGCCGAGGCAGGAGGATCCCTTGAGCCTAAGAGGTGGAGGCTACACTGCAGTGAGCTAGGATGACGCCACTATAGTCTAGCCCAGGTGACAGAGTGAGACCCTGTCTCAAAACAAAAAAAGAAGAGTTTTGCCTGCTGTGTAGGCAGCCAAGGATGTCTGCCATGTTGGTGATCCGTGTGTGCACAGTGATGTAGAGACTCAAGTTCTACTCATGCGTAATCCTACTGCACAGCTCCTCTCCACAGTGCTAGTTGTCCGTGGCTTGCTCACCTGGCCATGGTTTTGTGCCACTCTCTGTGTTCTAGTAGTACTTCCTCTTCAGTCTTTTCCCAGAGTTCTTATTTTTTACCTTTTCCATTGTTTGTTCTTCCCTCCCGATGTTCCAAGATTCCTTCTTTCATAATTTTCTTTCTTCAACTTCTTTAACCATTCTTTTAGGGTAGGTATGCCAGCAACAAGTTTTTGGTTTTCCATTTTCTGAGAATGTCTTCATTTTTCCTTTATTTCTACAGTGTATTTTTGCCAGATATAGAAGTTGACAGTTGTTTTCTTTCAATGTTGCACCATTTCCTTCTGGATTTTTTGGTTTTTGATGAGAAATCTTCTGTTATTCTAATTGTTTTTTCCCTGAAGCTAAGGTGTTATTTCTCTCTGGCAGCTTTAAAGATTTTTCCTTTGTCTTTGATTTTGAGAAGTTTGTCTATAAGATGCCTTGGCTTGGATTTCTCAGAGTTTACTTATTTTGAATTCACTTAGTCTTTTGGATGTGTAGGTTTGTGTGTGTCAAACTTGGGAAATTTTTGGACATTGTTCCTTTGAATACTTTTTCAGCCTCATCTTTCTCCTCTCATTTTGGAACTCTGATGACATGAATATTGGATCTTTTGTTATAGTCCAATAGGTGGCTGAGGCTCTGGGGTTTTTCCCCCCTACTTTATTTTATTTCTGTTATTTGGATTCGGTGGTTTATTCTGTTCTGTCTTCAAATCTGATTGTCTGATTCTTTGCTGGGGTTTGTTTCTTTTCTTTTCTTTCTTTTTTTTTTTATTCTGCTGTCAAGCTAATCTATTGAGTTTTATTTTTGTTATTTTATTTTTTAGTTTTATAGTTTCCTTTTGGTTCTTTATATCTTCTATTTCTTTGCCAAGATTTCTTGTTTCTTTTCAAGTGTGTTTGTAAGGGCTCACCGAAGCATTTTTTATCATGGCTGATTAAAAATTCTTGCCAGGTAATTCCAACAGCGTTGTCATCTTGGCATTGCTGTCTGCTGATTGTCTTCTCATTCAAATTGAGGTTTTCCTCATTCTTGATAAGTGATTTTGAATTATATCGTGGACATTTGGGGTATTATTTTATGGGACTCTGGATTTAATTACACTTCCTTTTTAGCAGGGCTTCTCTGATATTACAGTAAGGAGTTGCCGTCTTGTTGCTGGCAGGTGGGGTTGGGAGCCCAGGTTCCCCACTCAGCCTCCATCGACATGCCTGCGTGGTGTCCTCTTACTGCAGGGCAGGAGTTGGAGCACAGGGATTTTTTTTCTTCCTGTGTTTAGTGGGAGAAATGCATCTAACCTATTTTCTTTAAGAGTCAGACCTGATGCTATATTATTTTCAATAGATTTAATTTGTCAGATCTCCTTTGCTATGCAAATCAATACATATTAGAAACTGGGGTATCCTTCATGCTATGATGAATGCTAGAATGAAAAACACTTTTGCTAGTTCTCATGGTTTAAATAATATCATTTAGAATTGGGTTTCATCACAGCTCTGTCAGGGAGGAAAACCTTTTTCTCTACCGTTTTTTAGGTTCAGTGTCTGGGAGCATGAAAATTAAACAAACAAAAGACAGATCAACAGGAGAAAAGGCACGCAATTTTTATTAATATTTTTGTGCAGAACCTTCTTCAAAGGGAAATTTATACCCTGCTTTTAGACAGATAAGGGAGGGCAGAGAATTATTTCTGCATCTGTTGATTCTCAATTTCCTGTAGCTCAAAATGATCCTTATGCCAAAGTGGCATCTTTTGAAGTGGCATATTCTGATCCCCTTCAGCCGCAAGGAGCACTTCAGCGTTGGGTCAAATCCTTCTGTTACTCTAGTTTCCCATAGTCATCAAGTTATTTATATCTACGTTGCAAATTTTACAGATTTCTTACTAAATTAAAGGAATGATAAGAATCACGTCGTTTATTTTTCATGCACCATGTTTTAAAAATTCAGCATAATAATTGGGGAAGAACATTAAAGAAAGCAGTTCACATGAAAACAAAGTAAGATTTTCAACTGCAGTGGATCATGCCTGTAGCAATGATTTGTTTGTGTTATTCATGTCTCTGAAACCAAAGTGAAGAGACATCTGAGAGTGAAAGTTTGCATACAAACTGTAGTAATTCAAAATATACAACATGAAGTGACTGAATCTCTGCTTGTAGAATAAAGAGCTCAGATTCTTTGCAATTACTGTTTAGTATTTAAAGCTTAAGAGGAAAGTTACCAGCAGTTTTCATCAAAATGCTCTGCCAGTAAATGAGATTAATAAGCTAGTTAAACATAATCCAGTGAAGCATCCAGCTTTAGAGAGAATTAGAAAACAAAAGTTAAAAGTTTGTATTTTCAATGACTAAAAAAATAAATAAATAAAATAAACAGATATGTAAGTGTATAATTCCACAAAATTGGGTAATTGCTGTGGTGATCATCTACAAAAAGGAAAAGTAAGTAGACTTAGAAGAATGCACATTTTAAATACAATTAAGAAAAGTAATGGTCTTAAAGATTATCAATGAAGTACTCATTGGGAAAATTGGAAGCCAGTTAGCCAATCAGTTCCAAGATAAAATAACTACTTGCATTTCTAAAGAGGAAATGTTCCTTGTGTTTCTCCTTTTGATGATGTTTTTGGCAGTGTGGTGCTGGCGCATACCTCCTGTGGAATGTTAGCTATTCAGAATCTAATGGAAGTTCTATTTTTATAGGTGCATTGAGTCTTCTTCTAATGGAATACTTTTCACTTTCTAAAAAGCAAAACAGAAGAGGTCATGAGTTCTGTGGAGAAAATAAGTTTCTTCTGGCTATTTTAAATGTATATATATATTTTTATTCCAATATCTATCCATTTCCAACTACAAAGCATTAGTAGTCACTTGTCCAGATAGACTCAGGAATCAGTGGGAAAGTCCCTCATGAAGCAAAGTCATCTTCACAGCAAGTAATTAACTGCCCTGGTTTGTTTTGAATCCTTCTTCCCCAGAGTTTGTGTCTAGCAGGGTTTGCAGGCATACCCCAGCAGCTCTGGGAAGCCGGAAGGGCTAAATATATAGAAATGTGGATTTGTTTGAAATCTAAGGGGAGACAAAAAAAATGAAGAAACAGAGCAGGATTGTAGTCTCCAGGGGAGGGGCCTTCAGGCAGTGACTTTGGTCTTAAGCAGACCAGGCAGATCTAGTCCATTTCTAGGGCCGATGATACATTAGGCCTCAACAAGGTCAGTCATCTGAACATAAGTGCTGGAATGAAAAACTGTT